GGTACTCCCGGCAAATCACAGTATGACACGTGTCCATTTATTAAATCATTAGTTAATTAATTAAGCACTTTCCTTTTCCCAATTTCAATTTCCACAGTTCTTTCGTTTTCCAGGAATTAAGACGGCACCTCCTTTCAAGAACACCAACCTGTGCGGCGGTGCCGTAAAACAATCAGGCTGGGCTCCTCTCCGGCGCCAACATCGCCCGCTCCTCTGATTGAAAAAAATTTTCCCAAGCTTCATTGCAAACCAAAAACCAATTTTTCTGCTTGTTTCAATACATACGGGGTATACTAGAGACGCCTAATCAAAGTCTGTAGTTGGTATCGCCGCCGGTAACATAGAGGGTCCGACCCCATAAGTGGCCGGAACAGGAAGTTGGGATGGATATCGTTTTGGATTTGGCGGGGAGGAGGGCGCATACGGTGGAGGGGAGCTGGGCAATGTTGGTGCCGGAGAGGAGTTCCGGCCGATTGTTTGGCGACTTGGTGGAGCTGCCATCTAAATTTCTGGAAAAGAAAAGAACAAGGGATATATTGGAATCGGGATTCCTGGCAAAAAGAAGAACAGAGCAATTGGGGTTAGGGTGCGAGAAATAGAAGGAGTAGTGAAATTAATTAAACTGGAATGGGCTCAATTAATTAACTTGTAAATAAGAGGGACACGTGTCATATTGTGATTTGCCGGAAGTACCACATCACCAATCCTACGTGGTACTCCCGGTGTATGGAAGAGAAAGAGGAGGGAAAATTGAGTTTTCTAATGTATGGAAATAGAAAGAAGGAGGGAAATTTTAGTATTTTTGTGAAAAGAAAGAAGGAAACAAATTTGGTGTTTTCAATTTTTTGGTTTTTCATAATTTTAGCTTTTGAAATATATATCTTTAACTTTTATATGGAGGGCATGACTAGTTAAAATTATTCTTATATGCTTTGAAGGCTAATATATATATGTATGTAATTGTTTATGGGCTAATAAATAAATTAACCATTAGTTACAACAATTTATACTAAACTTGATAAGTAATTTTTGACGGTTCGTTGTTTAGGATATAAAGTATATGGTTAGGGTATAGGGTATAATGTACATATGGTTTCGGGTGTATATGGTTAGGGTATAAGATATTGATGGTTTTGACGGTTCTAAGTTTTTTATTAACATATGTTCAGTTGAAGTCATTTGAAGTCTTTAACGACAGGAGATCCCTTTTTAATTTATGTTTATGGTACGTGGTTAGGGTACAAGGTATGTGGTGTAAAGTATAGGATATATGGTTAGGGTATAACAATTAGCAAATATAACCTTTTATCTATGTTTTGAAAATCAAAGTATGAATTTCACTTTTAAATTAACTATACTAGCAAAATCACAACTCAAAGACATATGGTTAGGGTATAGGGTATATGTTATGTGGTTAGTGTATAATGTATTGATGGTTTAGGGTTTACAATCAATAACATATACTAACTTAATATTGTTGATTGAGGGTAAGGCTAAATGTATAGGATATATGTTATTGAGTAAGTTATGATTGAAGTCACAATAATTTTACTAAATTTGATAGCTAATCTTTAATTGTTCAACTTTTAGGATAATTCGAACAATTTTACAAATAACTCGTTTGGCAACAGTTTACTAAAGTTATTTGGGCAATGAGTTATTTCGAAATAACTCCTTTTATCACTATGCTTTTGCTAAATACCACACGCCAAATACCAGATTTGCATGGTTATACTAGACGAGATACTTTAATCTAATTACTACTGAATTAATACTAAAATATCAAATAAACAATTAATGTTGTCTTTTGGTTGCTTTACCAATTATGATTAATTACATAACAAGTTTGCAAGTCATACAAATTGATTTAACATTTTGACTAGTTTTTTTCAAAAAAATAAAGTATATATATACGAGGTAGAAATAAATTGGTTAAAAAGTTGAGAAAATATTTTAAATTAGTGTAATAAAATGTGTAAGTTGGTAATGAGTTAAGTTACTTGATGCGCTGGCCCGAACAACCCGAAACCCGATCCGCCCGCAATCCGCCCGACCCAAAACCCAATGAACCCGCAACCCGACTAACCCGCAACCCGTTTGAACCCAAACCCGATGAACCCAAACCCGATGAACCCGCAACCCGACTAACCCGCAACCCGATTGAACCCGCCCGATTGACACCTATAATAACAACGTTGTGAGGGTTAAGTCATTGAGCTGGTCAAGTAAGGGGTTTGAGATTTATTGGTCCGATTGAGGTTCGATCGGTTTGAGTCGTTTTATACATTTTCTAAAAATATATAAAAATAATGTAGTAATTAAAAATTAACGACTGAAATTAAATTTATCTCTATTAAAAACTTATTTCCCACAAAATATAATTTACCTAACCTCCATGAATTACCCACCATCTTCCTTCTTTCCCCCTCCTCCCTTTCCTCTCTCTTCTTCTCTCTCTTTAGGGGTCAAACCAGAGGGTTTTCTGAAGGCCGTTCTGAAGCCCGACTCAGGTCGGATAGGATCCAACCAGGGATCCCATAAGGTTTAACAACCTTGGTTAATAAGAATCACTCGTATAACAAAAAAAAACAGATACAAAGAGTTAAAAGGGCTGAAAATAGTCAAGAAACAATATCGAACCCCACAAACAAAGAGAAAAAGAAAAGGATTTTTATTGGCGCCAAATAGGCCACCATGTTACATCTACGATAAAAAAAAAAAAACTTTGAACTCCTCGAAAGCATAATTGAAGTTTCTAATCTCCTCCAAAACCGTACTCCCACGGGCATCCGTTATCTAGCCCTCCCAAACCATCCTTAACATCACGTGTGCATCACCAGCAAAAAATACTAAGCATATCCCTCTAGTTAGGCACCACCGAACTACGTTCCGAAGGGCCAAAAGCTTCACAAGAAATGGCTTTGCGATCCCCTCATACAAGCAATACCAACCCTATCACCCCCCCCCCCCCCCCCCGGCCACCTGGGTGCCCCATGGGAGACTCAAGGCGTCGTAGACGAGCACCTAGACTAGTCGGAATAACATCCCACTCTACAATCTGCAAGCAAAACTGAGAAAGTGAAACGGGGACAGTGTATTGAGTAGATTAAAAAACTACCCAATTCCTAGCGTGCCAAACACGTCAAAACATAACTACAACCCTCATCAAGTCACCGCGAATGAGTTCCTGCCACACCAATAGTCGGAATCTCATCGCACTGAGCTCTGCCATCTCTGCCCCTTCCCATAGCCCAACCGCCACGAGAAGCAGAAAAAGAGATGCTCTAGAGATTCCTCCTCTTCCCTGAAGACTGGACATTGCTCTAGCCCCCCCACCCAGCAAGAATTCAGTGCCTCACCAGTCGCCAAGACACGGCGCACATGCTGCCATACAAAGTACTGCAACTTAGGAGGTAACGACCCCCCCCCCCCCCCATAATCTGTATATAAAGACTCCAGTCCCATGCCAACCCGTTTTCGTGTAATGACACCTTGGTAAACTAGATATTTAGCCAAGTTTTTTTCTATCTCGTATATGTACTTATGGAAGTTAAGAACTTGTCAAAGAGTTAAATCAACTTTGTGTTCTTTTAGATGATTGAGTATGACTTACAAATTTGTCTTGTTATTAATCATCATTTGTAAAATATACTAGTTAATAGTTACCATGACGTCAACATTTCCATCCAATTACAACCACAATTAAAAGGTATACCATAAACAAATAAGTAAGAAATCATATTTAGTCTAAAGCAAAAACTTAGAATAATTATCTTTATAAACATTCAAGTGATGGAATTCTAATATGATGTTGTGTATGTTTTAGGCAAAATCATTTCAGTATAAATATCGTCCTTATGATTGCTATATGAAGAGCAAAAATTAGGAAAACTTTCTTAAACACAAGTAAAATGCATTTAAACATAATAAAACATAAAACAGTCATAAACACACTGAACACTCTTAAACATTCATCAAACTAATAAGGGTTAATACTTTAGTTTGGCCCGAACTATAGACAAACTTTCTACTTTGGCCCGTGGTACCGGAAATTGCTATTCTGGCCTAAACTATGTAGCATACTTTCTTATTTGACCCGGAGGTGGGTTTGACCGTCAAATTATACGGTCAACCGAGTTTACCGTTAGCCAAAGTCCACCTCACTTGCCACGCCAGCTACCAGGAAATAATTTTTTTTTTTTGAATTTTTTGAATTTCTAAAATTAATTAAAAATAATTTGGAGAGCTCTTTTAATTAATTTTTTTCGTTTATTATTTTTATTGTTAGAAAATAAACAAAATTCAAAAAATTCAAAATTAAAAAATTAATTTTTTATTCCCTGATAGCTGACGTGACAAATGAGGTGGACCTTGACTAACGATCAACTCGGTTGACCGTACAATTTAACTGTCAAACCCGCCTCCGGGCCAAATAAGAAAGTACGCTACATAGTTTAGGCCAGGATTGCAATTTCCGATACCACGGGCCAATGTAGAAAGTTTGTCTATAGTTCGGGCCAAATTAAAGTATTAACTCAACTAATAATTGACTATACTAATAAAAGCGTTCATATAAAGATGAAGTGATGGATTACTAAATCATCTAGATAATAGATTAGTAGTATGACTAAACTTTGGTACAAATAATGAACCAAAAGAATATGCAATCCATCAACGAAAGTGATGAATTGAATGGTTTCAACTATAAAAAGCGTCTCATAAATTGTTCAAATCTAAATTGTTCAAATCTTATTAGATTGTACGTATCAAATTACCCAATTTTCTTTCCAAATCATAAGTTTATGTATTCATAATTTTCTTTGCCAAAGCACTGGTATGTTGGTTGAAATAACTTGGTTAAGAGTCGTGAAGATATATATGGGCACAATAACCAGACTAGGACTGGCGAGTTTTAGCTATGTCCTCCCTGTTTTATTCTTCAATGTGTGCCCACGTACACGACTCTTCTTAAAACTGTGCCGTATGATCCACTCAATTTTGAAGTATAGACTGGATACTTTCGATAGTCTTTCTTCACCATATAACCAAGCCTAAAAGACCATGGAGATAAGAAAACATGAGGAAAGCAAGGAAAAAACGATCTCTCTGCTACAAAACAGTAAATCGAAAAGGGAGAACCAGTTCGCAAGAACTCGAATTCAACACATCAACAGATAGCACTTCAATAGTTTCCCGAATATCTATTAGTTAAGAATGAATAGTGACTGCTACAAACAGTATACTAAGTTCAGAAACAAGCGCTCCTCCAAATGCCCCAGAAATGCAATCTCAAATGTAAAACCTTCCCCCACTCCCCTATGGATCTCATGGGAGAAACAACACTGATGAATGAATTGCATTATGTTGCCTCTTTGGAGAATTGCATTGCGGAGTTCTCAGGCAGCAGCACCAAGTACACATGATTCTTTTATCCACCCGGATGGTTCACACACTCAAACGTCGTATTCGGATTCTCTACGCAATGGAAGAACTGCCCCTGGTGTCGCGCTATATCTGAACATCTAAGTGTGGCATATCAACAATCAACATGCCACTGTGATGGAGAAAGGGAAGAGAAAGCTACCTTCCTTCATCATAACTCTGTTCATCCCATGAGAATATGGATCGAGAATTTGCAGCTCTAGGCACAATGATTGACTAATTTCCCCATCTCATCAAAAACGAACTACGATCTATCCAATCGTAGCCTCTCCGTTGACTAATTTGCTTTTTTCAATCAGAGTGCTGCTGCCACCTCCGCTGCTCTTCTTTGACTGTTCTTTGCTGACAGTTGCTCCATCTTTGCCAGAGATTCTAGCTGACTTCTTCTGAACCTTCTTTCCTGAGTTACTGGTTTTTGTTGCATCACCGGATGAAGCTTGATCAGGAAGTAAAGCTTTGCGGCTAAGGCGCAGCTGTCCCTTGTCATTTACCTTAGAAGACATAATGCACTTGATGATTATGGCAGGGAAACCAAAGTCTGTTTAAGGTGATGAAAATGAAAAAAAGGCGGGGAAGTGTTGCATACCTCGATAAGCTTAACATCCACCTTGTCTCCAACCTTAAAGGCCTGTAAGTGAAAATAAGTTGATCTTGCATATCAGAAGAATAATCAGTTAATTTACTTGTAGAAAGAGTTGGACAGAATTGTGAAGCACCTACATCTTCTGCCTTTGGCAAATAAGTTGAAGTGAGTTCACTAATATGACAAAGTCCCTGTAGCAAAGTTCAAAAAGTTGCATCATGAAGCAGCAGCTTAATCTTCGGGAATAAATAATTCTCACTTACAGCTATACAGATGCAAATTAATGGCCTGATTTTTTAAATGTATACCTCACGCCCTGGGGCTATCTCGACGAAGACACCGTAAGGAGCAACTGATTTGATCTCACAGTTCCTGATTTTGCAACACACAGGAAACAAGCACCCTGAGTTCCACAAACAACTGAGGTATAACAAACACACCAAATAACAATTTCAATTCATACACAGAAAGCTCCTTCCCCTAGGATTCGTAGAAAACTGTAGTGGAATGGTGTTCGTCCTAAAACGCCATAAGCTAAGGAGACAGCCAGAAAAACATAACCGGGTGCCTAGAAATCGTTTCCTTTTGTTTGCAGAGAAGACTAACCAATTCAACTGGTCTATCTTGCATGGTAAATGGAAGTTGGAAGTCGGTTTCCTTAGCGAGGGAATGGGAAGGCACTTGCCTCGGCTTCTCTATGATTCTTATGAGTGTCACTAGGTTTATACTATGGCTTAGCTCAGATCACTGAAGAACTAAGTTTTTAACGAAACATGGCCAGTTAAAATAGCCAAAAAAATAAAAGAGCCTAGCGCTTCCTGAGGACAACCTGAATATGTCACCAATAGTTGGAACCATTGTAAGCCTAGAGATGATAGATTTTGATTTCTCTATACTTGATAAATCCTTTGCAGTGATCTTTACCTGCAGAGCACAAATTTTAAGAATTCGAAATTAGGTTAGTGCCTAGCAAAGCAATGGAAACAGATATTTTGACCATTGGATCTCACAATGCCATTATCCTGCATGTCAATGGATTCCACACCACTTTCTTCAATGATACTCTTCACCTTCTTTCCACCCGGACCAATGATCATGTTAATCTTCTCTTTATCCACCTGTAGAAAAAAATATTGCAGTTGGTAATGGGAACATAATAACATTCTGGACTTTAATTGTTCTAGCAATACAAATGGAGACATGGATGTTGAACAAACCTTCATAATATGTATGAGTGGTGCATACTTAGACAGCTTGCTAGAAGGGGGTGGAGAACATTTCAACATTTCAGCTGCATAGTGGAGTTAGCAGCAACATGAAACAGAAACAAAAGATCAACATGATACCATTAATTAACCAAGTAAAATGCCGGAAGGTGGCAACGTATACTTCCAACCAGGTGGAACATGCTAAATTTAGTATCTAGGGTTTCACAAGGCCCATACACTTGGAACTTCATAGATGTACAAAAACTTTAATATGTAACGGGAAATGAATTAAATAAAATAAGGCAACAATTCAACATATCATGTGAGCTTCTAGCAATCATAGTAGACAATATATTACCAAGAATGCGTTTCCTCCCTTCCCTTGCCTGTAGTAGAGCATCTCTCATAACGGGTAAAGGAATTCCTCCAACCTGAAACATGCAAACGAAAACTGGTCAGAATGTTCACGGTTCTCACGAGAGTGAGTACACATAACATTTATAATGGTCTCCACACTTTAAAGCCACTTATACAGATCATGATTGACAATGAAGATCACTGAAGCAGAAACAGAAAGTTTATGACCTTTATGTCCATCTGAAATGCAGTTATTCCATCCTCATTTCCAGCAACCTACAATCAGCATTTTATTATTAGAAGTAAATATTGCAACATCTACAGCTGAATTCAAGCAGAGTCTTTTAGGATCATCAAATAAAACATTAAAAGCAGCAAGTAAAGGACATTATTCGAAATGACCTTGAAATCCATATCTCCAGATGCATCTTCAGCTCCAGTGATATCAGATAGGATTAGTGGTGTTCCATCACCACCAAATTCTTTAGTGTCAAGGACCATGCCCATTGCAATGCCTGCAATTGAGCATTTTACAGGAACACCCGCATCTTGTAATGCCAAACAACCTCCGCAGACAGAGGCCATACTGTTACATGATGATAAGATCTCAATCACAGTCATACACTTAGCATGCAGATCATAGCACAAACAACAGACCTTTTGGGCGTGATAGGATTACAATTGAGGAACCAAGAAGGAAACATGCTTTTGACTTCTATTGCAAACTGAAAACACTTTCTGCAGTCACTGACCTTGAGGAACCATTGCTCTCGGTAATGGTACTCTCAACTCGTACTGTGTATGGGAAAATGTCTTCGGAAGGCAATATAGGTTCAAGAGCTCTCTCTGCAAGCATCCCATGACCAATTTCTCGCCTATTAGGTGCTCCCGTTCGCCCTGCTTCCCCAACGGATGATGGAGGAAATGAATACTGAAAAAATTAGATAAAACAAAGTCTTAGTGTCTTTGCTAAACACACTCCACACTTGGAATTTCTTTTGCATATTAAATCAAGAGTTTCGAGAACAGAGATAACAAGAAAAGACTCAGTAGGAACAAAATAAATATTGCAGCAGAGGAGATTTGGTGGCAAGCGAAGAAGGTTCAATTATTTTTATCTGCCATGTCTACCTTGGCTATAATGGACTCTGCACGAAGACAAAACACTGTTGGAAATTTCAGACCTTTACAAGTAAACGGAATCGTTCTATGGGCCAATAGACAGATAACGCAAATGCAGAAAGACAAAATTTCAGAAACTGAGCTGCAAATAATTACTCAAGAGAATAACTAGCATACACATGATTACTATAAAGTTGCTAGTATGCTTTTACTTGAACTACACTATATACAAACACTCCCATATATACCTGAAGATAGAACCTCTTAAATTCCTCTATATCCACAAGGTTGTCAACTCTTTGAGCCATTTGCCTGTCACCCAGCGTAGTAACAGCCAGGGCCTGCAACAAAAAGGAAGGGATGGAGTTCAGTGTTTCATGTAAAAGTTCATGCAAATTAAACACTGTGACACATCATAACTCGAATTTGTTGGAAGTTCTAACCCATACCACAACTTCATGACTAGAACATATGAAGTAATTTCATGACTAGAACTTACAAAGTAGGATAAGGGCTAAGATAAGAAGAAAACTTGGTCAATCAGAAATATCATTCAAAATAGAAATTGAATTGGCAAGACTAGTTGATCCAGAGAGAGTAAGAGAATATTTTGCTTTAATGATTACAAATAGAACTCATGACAAATACATCAGATTATGGAATAGGAGAGACAGTAATAGCAAGATAAAGAAAAATATGGAAATCAGGGATTGGGAGTTAAACGAATGGGACAGTTAGCATGGTATCCAAATACAAGACAGGATAGTTGTCAGTGTAGAAGGTTTTTAGCGGTTGAGCTTCTTTCCGAGGTTGGGCACATCTCAAGAAATTAAATTATTAGAATAATCTGGCAGTGAAATTAGCCTACTACACACTCAAAGGATTCACACTAAGAGACAATTGGTTAACTAACGAAGCATTTCCATTCAAGAAAACTTTCAGAAATGAAACCTGTGTTTCTCCACGAGTGAATAGTGCGCTCCCATGAGCTCTGGGTAGTAAGCCACATCTTGCATCTATTGGACGTATTCCATTTGAGGTTCGCCCATCACTCCTTTTCCCACCCTGTCACCAGTGCAACAAAAAACAAAAACAAAAAAAAAACTCAAATTTGAGATCTGTGTGTCATTGCTGGTTCTCATAGTTGGATTACAAGACATGGGTCCTCCATTCTGTACCACATCTCCTTTGTAAATTACTTCCGGAATCAGAACACCCATATCAATGATATTCAAGGTACCAATGCAGAGTTTCACTCATTGATAATTTCAGCACTATGATTGAAAGGCAAGAGATCAAAACTTACCTGGTGAGAACCAAGAAGACTTTAAAGCAGACATCAACCAGGCAAATATCAAGCATTTGGAATATAATGTACTTCATTTGCCACTACTGTATCAAAAGATGGATTTCATACCTGTACGATTCGCTTGCGGAGGAATTTGGATGAGACCTCTTTGAATACAAGCTTTACATCACCCTCCAAAAACAACTAAAATTTGACAAGGACAAAACAAAAAGGAGTTTCAAAAGGGTTCAAGAAGAAGATGCAGATTCTTTTAGATGGGGAACTTAAAGGCAACTTGTACTAACCTGGGGAGGAAGTTCCTTTGGAATTGGCTTTATATGGACGTCACCTTCATCTACCTCACCATCAACAATCACTTCATCGTCCTCGTCTTCCTCCTCAAGTAAATCTAATGTTGACTCTGCAGCGCCAGAATCTAAGATCGTAGTAACATAACCTTCTTCTGTAAGAATACCAATTACTTTTTTCTCCAAAGCTGAAATGGCCTTCCTTCTTGGTATTTTGTTACTAATCTGTAGCACTTCGGCTAATTCATTACCAGCAATCTCCTGTGAAAGGTAAATATAAACATAATATCTTATAGCCTGGAAATGAAAAAAAGAGCATGTTCTAGACAAGATTAACCAAAATTTACAGGTTTAGGAGAAATGAGAGTAAGGAAGTTGGGTACTGAGGTTTGCAAGAGAAAGAATATGGAAACTAGTAGATTTCCGTTGAAACATAGGACACTTTGACTAATACTAACTCTTCTTTTACACTTCGTATTGAGTTAGATTTAAGGTGTAATGTAGCATTAAAGTGCAGCGTAGACTGCTGATGTCCATTTGATAGAGCCAAGAAAATCACCCCCGAGAACAAGCTTTGGTATGCACATTCTTTAAAACCTAATAAAACACTTCATTACTTGGGAGGATACCATACAATGAGATGGTCAATGACCCTAAAATGTTTTCCCCCAATCAACTGCATTGGACCTAACAGCTGGTCAGCATGTGCTCAAAAGACCAGCACCAAGGATAACAGATTCTGTCATGCAGATTTGAAATACAGAGCTTGGTAATATTGCTCAGCTCTTCATAAATTGGCTACTTTGCATACAGAACATAAAGACCAAAGGAAACAGAGCTTATAAGTTATTTTCCTCAATCTAAAACTTGTAATCTTGTTTAAAAGGCTCTAGCCTAAAATGGCATGCTCTTAACTGGCTTTGAAAGCAGGTGCAGCTCATGGACAGAACAACTTACAGCAATAGAGGGGCATAATAAATTGTACCTCCACATGTTTATATAACTCAGGAGGAGGCAACTTTATAGCATCAAGCATTTTCGGTTTTCCACACTTTGCCTCCAAAGCCGCCACTTCATTGCAAATTAACCGTACTGCATCCTGGCTTCAGTGACATACAACAGGCTAAGTAGTCAATCAGATCCTGTAGTTGTTGATCTCTTTAATACGAAATACCAAGGAACATGACAAGTTAAGCATCTCTTCCTTCAATGCATGGCAATGCTTCCATTCCACAGACACAGCATATGTAAGAAGAATCACAATCATGCAATAACAAGAAGCGACTTCTTCTAATGTACAGTTTTCTCCAGGCCTCAAGGTTTCTTAAACCAAGAACTGATCCTGAATAACTTTTGGCAAACAACAAAATCACTAGGACTGAATCCATGACAGAGTCACCGAAAAGTATAGAAGCAGTGAGTTTCTGCTTACGTTAACAAGATTTGTAGTTTGTTAATGTTATGCACATGTCCTGAAATAAAGAAAAATACATTTCCAGGCACATAAGCAAACTCTGCTTACCCAATTTTTACTGCTTCAAACAACTTCTCCTCTGGCAGAAAATCGCAGTATCCCTGCAAGAAAGAAACAACACTAATTGATCTTTCTAAAAAAAAAAAAAAATGAAACAACACTGATTGACTGATGCATGTGTGTTCATATAATCATTGTTATGGTAGTGAATTACTTTCCCATAAGCAGAATTAACATGTTGCACATTTCTTATATTTATTTATTCATATGAAATGTGGACGAGACATATCACAACTTCAGGGCAATTCTATTCTTCAGAAGCTCAGCCTTCACGAAATACTTATGGAATACATGAGAATATCCAATATCGTAGAAGAAGTAAAGCATATAAGACACGAGTGGATCAGCTTATTAGCTGTCAATGGTGCCTCCTGAGATTACTGACATGAGGAGTGCCTCTAACGAGGGTTAAAAAGTAAATTAGCACAAAGATGAAAGTTTTATGAAAATTTATTTAGAAACATCTAGTATAAGTGTCATATTCAACAAACCTGGGCAGACTATTCAATGATCTTTTACACACGAAGAACAGAGGCCACCATGAACTCTTTCGAATTACACCAGTCAAAAACTTGTTATGGCATAGGAAGGTTTGATCCCAAGAGTGAAATTAGGCAAGGTCCTGTTGTTGTTCCCGAAACTACCTTAAGAATTCTACAGGCAGAAATGTTCCCAAATTTTTTGAAAACATCAGATGCAGCAATTGGATTGATGCTGCATTTACGATGCAACAAGTAATCACTTCCACAAGGAAAATAAAACAGCCTGTACACTACAGAACATAGACGGTAAGATAAAAATAGCTCAAACCTCGATCATCAGGATAGCGCTATCTGTACCAGCCAGCACCAAATCTAGCACTGAATTCTCCATCTCTTTGTTTGTGGGGTTTACTATAAATTTATCGTCAATAAGACCAACTCGAACTCCTGCAATGGGCTTTGTATTTGGAACTTCCGATAGAGACCTACGAAATTTGAAATTAAGAAATAGGCAACATATTAGAGATGGTTCCTGCATCAAGGGTTCAGGGGGCATAGATATTGAGAGAGAAGAACATAATGGGACAACATACATTGCTATCCCAGCAGCGGTGACGGCCAATACATCAGGCGGGTGCAAACTATCATAGCTCAAAACCTGTGAGAATGAAAGAGAAACCAATTTATATAATTAAAAAACAAAACCAAGATAGACCGAAATAAGTTAATTTCATGTCATCCAATCTTCAAATAACAGCGCATTGAAATATAAATTTCTCAAAAACTGTAGAGTCTTCAACGAATAAAATAAAGGGCCTTACAAGTAGTTATACCATACTCAAGGTATTCGTTAGTTGAGACCATTATGAAGTGATTCCGTAGTTATCAGTGAAAACATGCAATTTCGTAACAATGGGATAGAAAGACAGCATTCAACATAATGAGAATTCAGAAGCCTTTGGTTGAAGAGCAAGAATATAACATAAAAAATGGTATGGAAGACATTCAAGCAAAAAATATTGGAGCAATTTATGATACTTGCCCATGATAATATCTGAGTTTCATGGTAGAAGCCCTTTGGCATGGTTGGGCGTAATGGCCTATCAATGAGTCGGCAAGTGAGGACCTGAATTGATCATGGAGACAGAAACATAGATGTCCATAAACCAGCTAAAGTACAAATACAATAATACATATATAGAATTTTTTTTATGAAATTAGATAAATAGAAAATTATGATCAAACATCATGCAATCACCATTGAAGAGCTAAAAATTCCTTCCCTGTCCTCTCTGCTACTCGAAAAATGGAAAGTTAGATGGCATTGTCAATCAAGGTTTCCTGGTATCAACCATAGGTCACGAGACATAGCTGATACAAGAAGCACCACAAGCTTCCAGAGATCTTCTGATAGGTTATGTTCACCCAATGTATGATTTTTATAGGGATTTTCTTGCAATCTGCCCATGGGCCAGGATGGATACAAACCAAGATGCTGCTACCCTTAAAATGATAGCCTACTTGATTTTCTTTTTACTCTGGTTCTAATCGCAGAATTTGCAATTCATTTAGTTTTGTTTTACTTAATTTTAGGAAAATACAGCAAAGCTGATATTCCTTCTGAAGAAAGATTCTCTTTAAAGCTTCAGAACTCATTCTACCAATCAGGTTTTTATTAAGTAGCGGTCACATGATTAAAAATCATACAGTGAAAGCCAATCAGCCACAACAAATCATGAGTGAGAGTTTACTTAAAAAATTAAGTTGCAATCAGACTGACTAAATGCTCCTTATACTAGACAGGAGGCAAGTACCTCATGATCTTTTGCTCTTCCCTCTCGTTTGAAAAACCCTCCACTTAGGCAAAGCCAGATGAAAAGGGCCAATCAGTTTCCTGAAACAGTCTTCCAAAATAACAATGATAAAACAAAAGTACCATATACCTTGTTCGACCGGCAGCTGAAAAACGTTCTTGATAATGAACAGAAAGAGGGAAAAAATCTGAAGGCTCGCTTGGAACACCATCCAAACATACAGATGTATAGACAACCTGCGAAACAAAATTTTGAAATATGTGTCTGATACCAGATGAAACCGCTACATAAATTAAGACTACAGAAATTCTATGCTCGATGATTATGAACAGTAAAATGCTGGATAAAAATCTAAAAGATACATTGATGAAAAAGACAAGAGATGGATCAGCCACTGATCACAAAGCCATTTCAAGGTGTCAAGCCAATCTATTCAATTTCCCCATTTTTTTCTTCGCCTTAAAACATACAATAGAGCAAGGAGCACATCACAATCATATGTTCTTTCTAGTGTTTTCTAGGAACTCAAGGATTGACATTTCTCCATCTTGGACTGGTTCCCTAAAAGCATGAATTCTCACTGAATGCGAAAGCATGAACTGAATTCGTAAAAGCCTCTAGATAAGTCCAAGCACCATGGTTCGCTGTTGCATTCAGACATTTGAAACGTTGATAGAATTTTTGCCCCAGCTGTTCAAGTACCAAATGAAAGAAGATTTTCAAAATCAGTCCACTACTTACGGTTTCTCCATCAGTCACCATCACAGCACCACTAGCTTGTCTTCCCATATGACCTGTTTCAACCAATATCTGCAAAGATATTACAAGGACACTATTATAATCTCTCAAAAGCAAGAATTCAACTAGTTTATCACAATAACCCCTTCAGCCCAAAGCCTCAACCTAAGAGGGAAGCAGCTATACAACTTCAATTTCCTTCCAAGACGGCAAGCAGGCAGTTTAAATTCAAATAACTTGCTTCAAGCTTAAGGAATTCAAAGATTTACAACATTATCGATCACGGAAAGCGCTAACCAGAACGCGATTTCAAATACTTAACCTCTCTGTCTCCGTAGGGGATTTTAACAGAAACGTATTGAGGGAAGAACTGCGCTCCGTCTACGGCAACCGACTCCGGGACTTGGTGGTCTTGAACGGAAGCTCTAACGCGGCCGAAACTTGTGGCAACTTTTCTCGGTAAAAGCAGGGATAAGGCGCGGGACCTTGATTTTCTTGGACCAATGCAACGGGAGCAAGTTGGAGAGACGGGGAGCTTGCAGCAGTGGCTACTGGATAGTCGAAACGGAGAGCTTCGGGGACGAGAAATGCCGCCATGCAGGGCGCCGGTGCTAGAATTTGCCAGCATTCCGGCGGCTGAGGGGTTGCGCAGAGTGACCCGGTGGAGTCGCGAGCGAAGACGAGAAGTAGTAGAGGGAGAGGGATGAAGGAAATGAAGGACACTTATCCGTTTGTGGCGCCAGGTTTCAGAAAAGGAGACGGTTTTCTCCCTTTTAATTTTCTTTTGGTACTGTTACAAGAATTGCAGATGGGCCTATCGGGCTTCTGGTCTATGACTGCTGACCAAGGTTGTCAAACCGGTTTATGCCAGTGTGCCGGTTTAGCAAGTGGAATGGTTCAACCGGTGGCACATACCGGTTTGTGCCGGTTCATGCCAGTCAATATTACAAATAAATACTTATATTTAAACATCACATTTAACGTCAATACCTAAACATTTATACTTGAATCCAACAAATAACAACAATATTTGACTTTTATACACATAAAATAAATAATAAAATAATTTTTATCAATTAAATTCTCTAAAATAAAACATTTTACTTAAAGATTCGTATATCGATCATGCCGGTCATACCGGTGGTGTCACGCCGGTTTTATGACCGGTACCGGTTGAACCCGGTACAACCGGTGGCATGCCGGCCGGCGTGACAACCATGCTGCTGACCAAACAGGTTTGGGGAGGATTTTAATGATGGCTAGGCCCATCCATATGGCAATCACGATTCACAACCCATCAAGGCAGCCTAGTTAATTCTCATAATTTGAAGATTCGGTAGTATATACTAACTAATATCTAAAATGTATGAACTAATATCCAAGTTTGCTGAGTATCTAGATAACACAGACTAGTATTCGAAACATCACCAACTAGTATCCAGATAGCATATACCAACTAGTATTCAATATGGATACTCTTATGTGTTATCTGGATACTCTTATGTGTTATCTGTATACTAATTATGTGCTGTATGGATACTATTCTCTGTTGTCTAGATATTATTAGTTTGTGAATTTGGAATAATAGTTGATTCATGGTGGATATCAGTTAGCAAACTTTGAATACTCGTCTGTGCTCTCAAGATACTTTAGTATTTGGATACTAGTTCATGTATTTTGGATATCAGTTAGTATCTGCTAACGAATCTTCAAGTTAGCAGATTAACTTTTCCCCATCAAGGGGCCTACAAGTTCGGTTAGGCTTAGGATACCGAATTAGAGTCGTGGTTCTGAGGCGGAACCATCCTGCGGTTGAGGTTGATGCGAGATGGGGAGAGGTATTTTTGTTCATTTATTGAATTTTTACTTTTTTTTAATTTGTCTGACTCTGATTTCTCTTTGGAACTCTCTTTTCCTCTTCCTCTATTCATTTCTCTCTGTCAAATTCTTCAATCTCCTTCTTCTCCCGAGATGCTCCTTTATTTCGTTCTTCATTTTTTTTCTACGACAATCGACGAAATAAAGGTGTTACTACCCTTTTTCATTGTGCATATTTGTTCTTATCTTTTTTTTTTTTTTTTGCTTTTGATGTTCTGGATTGTGGAGGAAAGGAGAGGATGCAGAAGACTAGCATGTAAAGTATGTTTTAGTTAGATGTATATTGTGGTTACCATATTGTATCATGCTTGTATTGTGAAGAAAATGAAGGACATGAAAGTGAAGAAAATCATAATTATATATTGGGATTACCACATGTTGGGACAAAAAGTTTGACTTAGCAAATCTAATATTTTAGGTCAACATGTTTGGAATATATGTTATTGTATTTCCATGTTGGACTAACAATTTATGCAGGGAAGAATCAAAAGAAGCAAATTAATGTAAAAGTGAAAGAATCTATTTAGAAAAAGAAAAGTATTCAAATTGATTGCTTGCCCCCAAAGGAGTAACCATATCAACAAGGAGCTTACCAATTCAAGGAGCCACTTGCCATAAGAAGCATTACAAAAGAAAGGTAATGAAGCTACACCACTATAAATAGTAGAGTTCTTTGTAGGCTAGAGCTCCTTTTGTAAAGTTCTCTTCTCCCTTGTAATAGCGAAATAGTGTGATCATATTTCGTGGTGTGAATAGCTTGATATCTCGGAGGTTGAGATAGTCATGCTAGGTCGGGTTTTAGGCTAGAAAGGGTATTTGTAATTGGGACTAGTGCAAGAGCAAGAGGGGATTCTTGCTTGGAAGTTGCACTAGGTGGATTACTCTTCGATCAAGCTAAACTAAGAGTGTTGGCTTGATTGATTGAGTGGGTAGCTTAGTTTGGATTTAGCTAAGGGTTGAATAGGTGTGGAGTTGCACCTATTTGGTTCTTGACACGTAGTGTCAAGGTTGTTTTTATTTCATAGGATAGGGAGTCTTTTATTTTAATAAAAGTTAGAGTCTCTCGTGAGATAGTGGTGACTATCTCCGAGACGTGGATGTAAAGCCATATTGGTCGAACCACGTTAAAATCGTGTGTCCCGAATCATCTTTCTCTACGCTTCCTCTAACCTTGTTCCTATCATTATTACAAAGAAGTGAAAACTTCTATCACAATTGGAACAAGTGCGTCATAACAAATTAATCATTTCAAGAGAGGTTCTTGGCAAACCATTTTGGGTTGCTCAATCAACCTAGTGTTAATCTCTCACTATTGAAATCTGAATTAATTTGTGAATTGATCACGTCAAAAGTGTTCATTACTGACCCTGCTTGGTCTAACACCACATGGTATTGTGTGGTAACTAGATGCATTTTATGGTTAACACATGTTACCATGATAGTATCAGTATTGTAATTCAAGTTATTACAATATGAGTTGAAAATGTCACCATTTAATATGGATTGAAGTTATTAGCGTAACACCACATCATACCATATGGAACAAGTATTGTAATTCAAGTTTATAGGTTTGTTTCTTGTTATAACACCATTATACTAAATCATACCATCTAGTACCAGCATTTTGTATACATATCACACCACAAGTTTTGTTTTGTCCCATTATATTCATCATACTACATCATACCATATGGTACAAGCATTGTAAATTTATAGATTTGTACCCTCTTACACAGCATTATATATGTAAAATATAACATACTATATTGTAGTAGCAAACAATAAACGATAACATACGAGTTGGTTAGTTTTAATACATTGTACAGTATGATACGACTATATATCATATGGTACCAATACCACGGTGATATTTTACAATTTTTTTTTATAAATATGTTAGATTCATATGTGTTATATTGTTTTAGATAAAGTGAAGAGAGAACCAATAGTTTTCCTTTTAGTTGTAGACGAGAGAAAGAATCTGTCTTTTTTTTCTTTTAGTGGTAGACAAAAGTGATAGAGAAGGTTTTCTTTTTAATTTGCATATGTGAGAAAGAGAGGGAGAAGGCGTGCAAGTGGGAGAGTGCGGATCTGGTGACTAAGGGGGTGCTTAGTCACTTGACTAAGCCCCTCCCAGCCCTTAGATCTGGACACTTCAATCCAATGGTTAAAAAGTGGGAAGAGCTATTTAATTAATAATAGGGGTAGTTTGGGTATTATGGAAAATTACGAAGTATACAAACCGGATTTACAATCAGTACAAACCATACAAACATATGAACAGTACAAACTAGAGCGACAAAACATACAAACAGATTTACAAACATTACAAACGTATGAACTGTACAAACAATACAAACTAGACCGACAAACAATACAAACCATACAAAAAGAAAAAACAACCGGGTTGACTTTTGAGGCTCCATCCCTATATAGAGGGGCTCCTTCCCAAAGTCAACCCGGGTGTTTTTTTAGACATACAAACAGTACGAACATGGTGGACAAAAATGACAAACTAGACCGACAATCCATACGAACGGGAAAAAACTCCCGGGTTGACTTTGGAGGCTCCATCCCTATATAGAGGGGCTCCTTCCCAAAGTCAACCCGGGTGTTTTTTAGACATAAAAAACATTACGAACATGGTGCACAAAAATGACAAAGTTTACAAACATGGTTAACAAAAATAACAAAGTTTACAAACATTACAAAAAAACCGACAAACATTACAAAACAACAAAGCATACAAACATTACAAAATATGTCAACAAACATCACAAAATTAGCACTGTCGCCGGAAAAAATTTTCCGATCAGAAAATTTTCCGACAAAAATCTCTCTCTCTCTCTCTCTCTCACGCACCAAATCTTGGTACATGATAAAAGTGGGAATGGAAATTATATTCCCTCAACAGTGGCATCGGCGACAAAAGTGGAGTGGGAATTAAATTAAATTCCCTCGCCGGCGACGGACAAAAAAGAATAGAAGGATGCGGACGTCGGCGACGGGAAATAAGAAGAGATGGGGTGGGGGAAGAGCCCGAGCAAAAATTTATTTAATAATTAAAAATAAAAATAATCATACAATTACTGTTTTGTCCTTCATTAAATTAGATTAATTGTAGCCATTGGATTTTAATGAGGTGGAAGGGCTGAGATTCACTTAGTCATGTGACTAAGGGACCCCCCTTAGTCACCTGATCTTGGCCCCAAGTGGGAGCGGGGTGGAGAAAAGGAAGGGAAGGAACAGGGGTGAGGTCCGCATATTGTCAAAAGTCAATGTCTTCATTAAATGTGGCATGCATTATTACTATTCTATACTTCTTTTTTTTACAAAGGGGGACTTTATTGCACTTAAAACTTATCAATTACAAAGAGGGAGAACAAACCAACAATCTGGTTCCAACAAGAGGAAGACCAAGGGCATTCGGTTACAAACAAATTTGTGTAAGACAAAATGCAGCAACAAGAACAAAACACAGTCTACAAGCAACCACCCAAAAAGAGCAAAACCCTTGACCGAAAACAAATCATAATGAATCTCTCTTGCAAACAACCAATCAAAGTGCAACAAACCACAATCAGCTTGTCTGATCATATCGAAATCCATGGTAAGTGAACATCATCACACCATGTGCCGCCTCCTGGACAAAACTCAAAGGCATCCATCACAGTGAATCTAGAAACTAGACTGCATGGCGGTGGAAGAGGATATGAACCAGATTGCTCCAAGCTGAAGAGGCAGAGGAGGCCGAGGCAGAGAGATCAAGTTCGAAGAAGAGCAGAAGCTCCCAAGGTAGACACAAAACTCCTCGGAAAACACTGATTCCCAACCGCAACCACAGGAGAAGACCCAGCCCACCACCATCCGACGGCTCACCAAGCCACTCAA